GTGCCTCGTGCTCGCTTCCGGTCCGGACGTTCTCTTCCCTCTGCTCCTCCTCGTCTTGTTGCCGTCTTATGTCGGCCAGTCGTTGTTGTACCCTCATCTCCACCAACTCGTTGATGCGGGCGTCCTCGTCTTCTGCGTGACGGGCGCCTCGTTCTTGGTCGGCGCTGGACATCGGTGACAGCTGCTGATCGCCGCAAAGCGATACTCCAAACTAAGCTCGACGCGAATCTTATCCAATCTTATCCAATTTATCCAATAGCAGCAGCAGCAGCAGCAGCAGCAGCAGCAGCAGTAGGAGTACCAGCAAGCATGGTGCAGAGGCGAAAAACCCGCAGGAGAAAAGCGAACTAAAACAGGTTCATCCCACACCTGCTGGCTGAGGTCTGCTGGAGCTGGTCTGCTGCTACAGCAGCTGAAAGAGGTAGTCTGCGAGAGTGGAACTCCCTCCCCGTGTTTTTTCTGCGGAGGGATTCAGCTCTCTGGTGTCCCCGGCTCGCGGGCGGCCACCGTTTCGCGCGGGCTATTCGCCCTTTCGAGCCCTCATTTTCAGTGCAGATTTCAACGAAAAAAATTGTGCGACAGGAAGAGGAGCAGCACTCTGACCGACACTCATAGTGCGATTGTGACCCAGGCCATGAGGGTCACTATGGCGGAGAGCTCGACAGAGACCAGAGAGGAAGACCCGGGTAGCTCTGCGCCGCACAAACGATAGCGTAGCAAGACGATGGAGCCTCAGGCCTGGACAAGCGAGAGGGCCTGTGGTTCATTTCCAAACGTTTGCACCGTGCCTGAGTCACCTCCATGGATGACCGTGTGCGGTTCAGTCCAGAACCCCGACAGCGGCGGGTGTCGGGCACCTTGATGCAATGCCAACCGTGGTTTTATGAACAACACCAAATGTGGGTTCTCGCAGCACCATGCCCCGGGCCGAAAGGGCGCCGGGGTTTCTCCCTCACGGCAAGGGTGGGCGGGGGTTGAGGTACTCTAGACTATGTGGTCTGAGAGAACGGGACTTACCCGGAATGATGTTGCGCCAGAGGATGACGTGCATGACGCCTACGACAGAGTTATCCACTCAGTCAAGGGCATGCCTCCAGCGGCCGTCGCGAGAGCAGCAGCGGCGACAACCACCACAGCAGACCCAGAACCACACGATTCCCCGTTGATTCGCCGGGCAGCGGTCGCTCTGGCAGGGATGGGCGTGAGAGGACGGATGTTTGCGGCAACGAGGCCACGATCGACGTTCCACTCGCAGGTGGAGACCCCTCCGCTGTCGGTTTCAACGTCGTCGTCGACTGCGACGAGCTCTGGCATCGTTTGGGGTGAGGTCTTCGACAACGCCCACAGCACCGACTTTGCTGCATCTGCCCGACTTCGTACTATCGTGGGGTCACCTCAAGACGAAGAGGAACAGCGCCGACAAAGGCCCAAAAAGCTGCCGATGCCAGCAGCAGCAGTAGCAGTGGCAACGCCGGGAAACCGTCCACGCAGCTGCAAGTTTCTCCGCCACCTCCACCTCCATGTGGCGACCAGCATGACCTACCCACAGCAGCATCATCAGCAGCTGCACCAATCCCAACAGCACGGAGCTGACATGTACCTCCCGTTCGTGGCGGGTCTGGACGAGCTCACGCCACCGGGCGGGCTATGCGAGCTGCTCGAATCCCGTCAAAAATTCCCTGAGCCTCCGTTATCAGCAAGGGCTAAGGCCAGTCCGATGGGGTCTGCGAGCCGGTCCCCGCCTTTTGCTGAGGCTTCGCCGGCATGCACATCGGTGTCGTCCTGTGAATCAGCGCCTGGGCCAACAACACACTTCTTTTAGGGGGTTGGGATAAAGGGTCGGAGGGCCACCGCCGTAGAAGAGGCGAAGGGCACCGCTGGCGACAGGGGTAAGACCAAGGGAAACGTGGGGAAGCCGAAGACGGAGGAAGGAAGTGTTAGGTCGGGGTCGCCGACATGGAACGGCAGCAACGACAGGCAGGGAGATCATGGCCTCGTACCCGTCGCCGTTGTTATCTTGAACTCGGTAGGGTGAGGACCCCTGTCAAATAGCTCCCCTTCAAGGAAAGTAAGTGCAGTGAGTGTTGCTGTCGCGAGCAAATGACCCAACGTTTGTGTTTCATTGTGCGAAGTTACTAGCTCCAACAATAAGAATCCGGTCTTCTTGAGGTGGTTCTTTCTACGGTTTGTATTGTGTGGCGTTTTTCTGGTGTATTGTTCCGTGTAGTACATCATTTTGCGGCATTTCTCCCCCTACCTTGCTTTTTGGTTTTCCTCTTGGTCGATGCAAGAAGAGCGGAAACGTTCTTTCGCCAAGCAACTATTTTGTTTGTAGATTGACGAAGACAGATTCTTGCGTAGCACACGTTGAGACCACGAGAAGTGCAGGTCAGCAGTATGCGTCCTGGATAAAAACAATCATTCATCCACGCCTTCTGACCTGTCCTGACAAGCTGGAAGCTGTGTTGGTATATGTCCTTTACTTGGAAGGGGAGACGTTTTAACTCTTGTATTAAGGCACGCAAGGGGAGTAGGGAGAAGAGAAGCCCTCTTTGGAGTTTGAGGGGTCCCCGCACATGCAACCATTTCAAGGTGTACATATGCCCCATCTGCGTGCCCTCTGTTGTTGCCGGTAGATCCAACCAGTCCGTATCCAAACACACGAACACCCTCCCCGGTTTGCACGCGAACGGCAAACCTAACGTGGGGCATGGATACCCCTGAACTACCAAAGGGACTCAAAACAACAACAGGCTCGAGGGAAAACCCGGCCAACCGGATCAAAAAAAACTCGTCTAACACCCTAAATATGGAAAACCGCCGCTATCACGGAGGATTCCGACGGCCGCACTTCCAAGACAAGACCAAGGCAGGACAGATTGAGCCGGTCACGCTGATTACACACCCGAAGCCACGCTCTCGGCGTTTCTAGGCTCCAGCCGCGGGTTACGCGCCGGCACAACGCTTCCTGCGTGACGTACCATGGTCATATATGCCAAGTGCTAAAACCACAACATAAACCAAAAAAAACAAGAGAACACTACATCGGTAGATTCATCAGAGCCTTCCGGTGGTACTCTAACTTCTCTCTGCCGAGGACCTTGGTCAGCATGCCGGCGTGCTGCTCTCCAGTCGGAACATACGCTGCAGTGATCTTGCCCGACTTGAATAGCTCACGAATGAAATGGAACCGCACGTCGATGTGCTTGCCCCTCGCTAAGCTGAACGGGTCCTCGATTAAGGCGAGAGCCCCCTTGTTGTCCTCAAGGACCTTGATCTTCGCCCCACTCGTCTCGGGCGCTATGAACGACAGAACGCCACGCACAAACAACGCCTCCTTCACGCCCTCCCCGGCTGCCATATACTCTGCTTCCGAGGTCGACTGAGCCGTCACTGGCTGCGTCTTGGTGGATGCACACACTACGGTACCACCTACGGTCACAGCTAGCCCGGTCGTAGAACGCCTGTCTACTTCGTTGTCAGCGTAGCTGGCATCGACAAACACGCTTAGGTCTAGTCCTGACCCCCGTACGTAGGTGATGCCGAAGTCCTTCGTGAAGTTCAGGTAGGACACGATCCGCACAAGCGCGTTCCATATCCTCCCGGTGGGTGAGTGGGCGATCTTCTGGAGCTTGTTCAGAGGCAGGGCGATGTCTGGCCTCGTCAGCTTCGTCCACATCAGGCATCTGATCGCCTCCCTCACAGGCTCATCCACCGCGGGTTCGTTATCTCTCTTCGGCCCTAGGTCGTCATCGGTGGTAGCAGAGGTGAAAGCGGTCGTGGTCACATCAAACCGCTTCAGCATACTCTCAATGTATGCTGTCTGGGACAGCTTGGTGATGCCATTTTCTAAATCCATGGCGATAGCACAACTGTCGTACCAGGTACACTCCCCCAGATCTTTCACCGGAAACTTCTTGTTGAGGGAAGTGAACAACTCCTCTCGCTCTCCCTCGTCTGCCGCCACTAAGATGTCATCAATGTAGATCACGATGAGACCTACGACCTCTCCATCCACCACCTTCCGGAAGACACACGGGTCAACCCTGCACTGCTCGTATCCAATCTCGATGAGAGCATCGGCAGCTTCAAACCCCCACTCACGGCCACTCTGCTTTAGGCCATACAGGGCACGCTCAACCTTGACTACCTTGCCGGACATGCTACCACAGCCTTCCGGGAACCTGAGGTATATTTCTTCTTTTAGCTTAGCGTGGATGTACGCTTGCTTCACATCCCAGTGAGCGAGTTTCTTGCCCTTTCAATCGCTACGGCAAGCACCGTCTTGATAGATGCTGCAGACGGGCACTCTGAGGATGAGTGGTGGAAGTTGATGCCGGGGATTGAGAGAAACCCCGCGCAACCATACGGGGGTTGAAGTCGACTATCAGGCCTTCTCATTCGTCTTCCAAGAGAACACCCACTTTGAACCTATGGCCTTCCGCCCCTCGGGCAGCTCCTTGACCTCGGTAAAGGTTCCAGTCATGTCGTGGCCATCTATCTCTTTGTTCATGGCCGCCTCCCAGAAAACCTTGTACTTGGAAAACATCACATCCTTGTACGTCATCGGTACTGCTTCCACATCACTCGGCTTCTGCCCGATTGGCGAGGTCATACTTAGCTGTGGGTCTGGGAGTGGTTGCGAAGACCCGCTGGCGTCGACCTCGGCCCCGAACGCCTGCTGTTCCGGGCCCAACACCTCCTGCATCTCGCGCCTGTACATCTCCTCCATACGGCGTGTCTGCTCCTCGTCCCACTGCTCCTTCACAAGGGGTTTGCAGATGTAGTACTCAACAATCCCCGTCCCGCCAGTTTGCAGGATGGTCGCCAGCAATGCCTCGTTCGGTGTTTCTCCGGGCCCCGGCATCTCCCCGGCACCTTGCATCTCCCGGGTCTGCTTCCGCGTGCGGCCACTCTCAAGCCCATGGCGCAGCGGGCCAGCATTCGAGGCGCCCAAGAGGAGTTTCTTCCCTTCTAGCCCGCGGGGGTAGCGGTCGTCGGCTGGATCATACTTCAACTCCTCGAGGTTCTCGGAGTCGCCGGGATCACCATCGCTACCGCCGTCCCCACCTGGGTCGCCGGACTCTCCGCCACCCNGCCTGCTGTTCCGGGCCCAACACCTCCTGCATCTCGCGCCTGTACATCTCCTCCATACGGCGTGTCTGCTCCTCGTCCCACTGCTCCTTCACAAGGGGTTTGCAGATGTAGTACTCAACAATCCCCGTCCCGCCAGTTTGCAGGATGGTCGCCAGCAATGCCTCGTTCGGTGTTTCTCCGGGCCCCGGCATCTCCCCGGAATCTTGCATCTCCCGGGTCTGCTTCCGCGTGCGGCCACTCTCAAGCCCATGGCGCAGCGGGCCAGAGTTCGAGGCGCCCCAGAGGAGATTCTCCCCTTCTAGCCCGCGGGGGTAGCGGTCGTCGGCTGGATCATACTTCAACTTTTCGAGGCNTCTGCTCTCGCCCTCCCCGCCCTCCTCGTCATCTGCGAGAGGTAGCAGCTACGGGTGAGCGGGCGATGCAGCGGGCTCGTGGCGCCAGGTGAAATTGCGGGTGGTGATTACGGTTCCAGCTTCGGTTAGCATGCGAACGCAGTCACGGGGGTGATCGTGGGCAGGACCAAGGTACCATCCTTTTTTGCCCTTGGGTTGCGACTTTGCTTTCTTCTCGACTTGAACACGGCTGGCTTGAGAAACGGTTATGTAGACCCGACAGGCGGTGGGGAGTCGTGGAACATCTCGTAGGCGGATTTGTCTCCCTCGTTTGATTTAGTGGCGGTGCAGTTCAGCTGATGGCATGCACACGAAATGACCTCGGCCCACAACCCGGGGTGGTTCGGTGCGTCGGGGAACAGTGNGATTACGGTTCCAGCTTCGGTTAGCATGCGAACGCAGTCACGGGGGTGATCGTGGGCAGGACCAAGGTACCATCCTTTTTTGCCCTTGGGTTGCGACTTTGCTTTCTTCTCGACTTGAACACGGCTGGCTTGAGAAACGGTTATGTAGACCCGACAGGCGGTGGGGAGTCGTGGAACATCTCGTAGGCGGATTTGTCTCCCTCGTTTGATTTAGTGGCGGTGCAGTTCAGCTGATGGCATACACACGAAATGACCTCGGCCCACAACCCGGGGTGGTTCGGTGCGTCGGGGAACAGTGGCGTCGCTTAGATGCGTGACGCAAGCGCGGCATCAGTGATCAACCCTAGCGCTCTCTCCGCTACACCGTTGTATTCCGGGTGTGAGGGGGGGTGAACTCTTGTTTGATGCCGTGTCTGCGGCAAACTTCCGCAAACTGCCCCTGGAACTCGCCGCCACCGTCGGTACGTGCGATATAAACCTCACACGGAACCCCTTTCGTTCGGTAGTCCGCCAGGAACTTCTCAAACCCAACCGCTGCGTCAGACTTGTGTTTCAAGAAGAAAACACGCGTCCAACGGGAGAAATCGTCTCTGATGATCAGTGTGTACCAGTTGCCACCAATGCTCCTGGTTTTCATCTTTCCCCCCAAGTCGAGATACACGCGAAATAACTTCTTAACTGCGCGTGTGCTCGTGCTCTTCTGGACGGGTTACACCTGTCCCTTGGACATCGAACAGCCNAATCGTCTCTGATGATCAGTGTGTACCAGTTGCCACCAATGCTCCTGGTGTTCATCTTTCTCCCCAAGTCGAGATACACGCGAAATAACTTCTTAACTGCGCGTGTGCTCGTGCTCTTCTGGACGGGTTACACCTGTCCCTTGGACATCGAACAGCCAAGACAGGGTGGCAGCGGTCCATCCGTCAGCTGCACTCCCTGCTGCTCCGCCGTGATCCTGAGCAATGTCTCGTGGGCATGGCCGTGCACGANGCATTCAGTACTGGTACGGGTACTCCACCATCTTCCGTCTGTAGGACTAAGGTCACATCTCCGTATCCTAGAAGAGCAACGGGGGCCTTGTCGCCTCCGATCCCCTTCACCCAACCGCTACGCTCACGGTAGATCACGAAGTTGTCTGCATGTCGGAACATGGAGCACGTGGCCGCTGTGTCGGCCACGTACATCGCCTGGCCTTGTTCCACAACCCCCACTAGACCTACTTCACCAACGGTACCACACTC